CATAGGCACTGAGCCCTCACATCACCAGCTCGAGCACACACGTAACGCCCTTGTAATGTCCAGAAAGATTCCTTTCGCTCACCGCCTGCACTATTCTTCGTCTCCTGCTTGGACAAGAAGCTCCCCTGCCTCTGCATTGTCCGCCTGTCAATCCTGTGTCGCTGATCCCGCCGATAGGTGACCGTTCTTCTTGGCGGTACTGCGACGCCAATATTCGCGGCTTATTAGGAGGGCATGGAAGCGATCCGACGGAGTACTACACATGCTCTCGGCCTAAGGGCTGAAACTGATCATTCAAGTTCAGGGCTAAAACTGATCATTTAGTGAAAACGAAAGCAAGTTCACGGTGTTTGTGAGAAAACAGAGAAGCGAGAACCTTCGCGTTGCGGGAGAAGCAATGGCTAGTTACGGCAACTGGAAGTCACAGCGGCTATTCTTCACGTCACATGGACATATCACTCCTGGAAGTCACAGCGGCTATTCTTCACGTCACATGGACATATCAGTCCTTGGGAGGAAGTTAGGAGCAAGAGCAGCAGATGACGCTGACCATGCGAGAGAAGTTGCGAAGTTGAGCTTCTCACAGTTCCTGAATCTTACCATGCCTTTGGACTACCTACCTACACTCTCAGATGCCAAATCTTCAGTGCTTTGCAGGCGCTCGCGAGGTGCCAGCGGGATCATGGTGCTTTGCACGAGACCTTCCCCGCACTGTTCGATGTCTCCGGCGTCGTTTTGCGCCGTTTTGCGCCGTTTTGAGCACTGTTCTGATCGTTCTCAACCACCGTTGCATTGCGTTTCTCTTGCCCTCGTAGCCTGTCGGGTCGGTCGCGTCTTCCCATCGAAGAAGCAGCTCCACCACCTTATTCCCCCAACACAACACCCGGTATTCTAGCTGTGTATGACCGGGCGTAGCGGACCTTTCTGGTAGCGGCGGAACTGCGAATCGCGTGGCATCGTTTGCGTGTGCACGATGTGAGCGCAACTGGAGCAACTCGTCGTGGCTGCGTTGCTGTCTGCCGGCTATTTCTCCCGTGAATGCGTCTGACCTCACGGTGGGCACCGCTCACTGAAGATACTGCGGTGGGCATTTCTGAGTCGCTCATGGCCGGATCCGACGGATCGTACCAAGACCTGTTACTCATCGGGAAGGTATTACCAATCTCTGGAGCAGTTCTGCCGGCCACTTCTGAGTGTCAGCCAGGTCTGTCGGCTCTCTCTCTGTCGGCTCTCTCTGTGTCGGCTCTCTCTCATCGGTGCCAGCCAGGTCTGTCGGCTCTCTCTCTGTCGGCNGTCGGCTCTCTCTCATCGGTGCCAGCCAGGTCTGTCGGCTCTCTCTCTGTCGGCTCTCTCTCATCGGTGCCAGCCAGGTCTGTCGGCTCTCTCTCATCAGACTGAGTGCCAGCCAGGTCTGCCTGCCATGTCTTCACTTGCATATATATATGACCTGTAACTCATCGGCAAGGTATTACTACTGTCTGGAGCATTTCTGCCGGCCATTTCTAAAGATTGGATGGATGGAAAACCTGAATGTGGACGTGTTTGTAGACACGAGCAGATCATCGCGATTGCTCTGCTTTTCTGTATCTTTCCGTCAAACTCGTCCAGATACGGGCGCTTCGTCCAATCTTCTGGAACTGCGGCCATTTCTGAAGATTGGCTACTGTAGTGGGATCTTGCCTAAGTGTCAGCCAGCTCTGCCGGCTCGCTCTCTCATCGGTGCCAGTGAGGTCTGCCTTCCATTTCTTCAGTTGCCTACGCTGCTTATAGAACTCTCTCCTTCATGTCAGGGGCTCACGTTCCAACCGCGACGTCAACGTTTATGTTCTTCCTGTACAGCTCAATTGTGTGTTGAGAACCGACCGACCATTCCGCGTTTTTGTCTTGCCTTCCCCCCTCCAAGGAACAGCGGTAAGCTCTTCGCCCCTCCATTGTGTTTTTTTTTTTTTTTTTTTACGTTTCCTTTCTTTTTGATTGAACAATCGTCGAAGTTACATCGCCTTCCTCTTTTCTGCTTCAACTCAATATTCAGAATATTCAGAATCTCTGTCCGGCTTGGAAGTTGCGCATCCTCGCCAACTGCTTGGTTGGCCGAGCCCCTCAGCAGCCCTGTCGTCAGCCCTTTAGCTCAGCTAACGACGACCTTCAAGGTCGCCGTATTTTCTGTGCCCCTGGTAGCTTTTTTTTTTGGCCTGTCATAATGGTAGACAATCTCTTCATTTATTTAATTGATATGCAGTCTTCGAATTTCAAGTGGGCTAAGTGACTCTTTTTTTTTTCTTTTTTCTTTTTTTAATAAGTGACGCTTTGATGTTCGACAAGAATTGTTTTTACTTCACTAAGTTATATATATCTATTTGCTTCTCGCAAAACTTGCTGGTTTGCCTGATGAACTCGCTCGTGAAGTGCCTGTCCTGTCAGCGGGGTCTCCTTCCAAGAACCCCCCGGGCATAACGAATTCTTCTTACATTTGTTTTGTTTCGTTCTGTTTGCCCTTTTTTTTTTTTTTTTTTTTTTTTTTTTTTTTTTTTTTTGTGGAGGGGAACGGTCTTGAGATATTATCTTCTACTAACCTACCGTCCCCAGACCATAGACAGTTATTTTGCTATCTGATTGAATCAGGATTTAATTTAGAAAGTCCGGTCAGGCTCTCTGCCTATCAACAGTTTTTTTTTTTTTTTTTTGGAGAACAATTGAACTTTGTATTGCAAGAAAGAACTGAAGGCTACGGGGCCGGGAAACCCCACAACAATCCCGAGAATACTGGGGCCATTACCCAGGTTAGCCTCTTGGAAACAGGGTCCAGTGTCCCTTCTTAATGCAGTTCCCCAAATCGAAAAAAAAGGTTGCCCCCCAGAGAAAATCATTTACAGCCCTCTGCTTACCATCAAACCTTTTCCTCTAAAGTTAAAGTATAGACTCTATGGAGGGGAGCGAAAGCGCGCCCCGTGCCCCAAGGGGGATAACAACCACTGACAAAAATGGAGTCTTCCTACAGAGTCTAGTTTAGCTAAGGAAGAATCCCTCCCCCATGTTTCCCAAAACCACTTCCTTTCTTTTAAATTCCCAGGGACTTTTCTCCTTGCACAATCGCTTCTAATGATCAGCCTTAGGGCGAGATCCCACTGGCAAAGAGCGTTGTAGTAAGTGTCTGAATGTGGACGTGTTTGAGGACAGGTGTGAAAAAATGTGATTGATCTACTTTTCTGCACCTCTGCCTGGAACACCTCCAGATTCAGACACTTCTTCCAATCCTCTTTGCCAGTGGGATCTGGCCCTTAGTTGGTTTACTACCATAACTTTCACTTGTGAATCTGATGTTCCAACTGCTTTGAAGAGTTGGTTATTCCGGTTGTCCCAGATTATTTTCATCAGAACAGTCCTGCAGTATTGCGCCACATAAAGCCAATCTTTTTCCCCTTTAATCCCAAGTCTCTGTGAGTACCAGAGAGAATCTATTCATCAGACCATTGTGAAGCTCCTTTTGTGAACTTCTTCCAGTTTTTTTTTTTTTTTTTTTTTTTTTTTTTTTTTTTGAAACTTCTTCCAGTGTTGAATCCACCAATCCCAGATACGTCTTGAAGCCGGGCAGGTCAACCAAAGGTGCCAGTTGTTCTCCCATGGCCATCTGCATCTTGAGCATACTGTGGAGACCTGCATTCCTTTGGAGGCCAGGTTGGTCGCCGTTGCGGCTGCGAGATAAGTCTGTAACCAAGCCACACTAGCCAGTTTCTGTGAAGGCATTGCCATAAACTGTTGCCATAGTGAAGGTCAAATGGTCTTCAGAGATCTGCAAATGGTCCGCATCTCTTCTTCTCTTCACAACAGAGGAAGTTGGTGATTTCTTAACTGCCGATCTGAGTAGCGTTTACCCCAGTCTTTGGTCTGTACAGGGCTAAAGTCCCCCTTCAAGTTTTCCTTTGTGGTGCTGCGACATACCAGCCTATTCTTCTCGGATCGACTACCTTCTGGGCCAAATCCTGCAAACCTAGTGGGAGGTTAGCACACCACCGAGCTCCTCTGGCTCCTGTTAAAATTTTGACAGTCAGATCGACAGCCACTTCCTTCATGCCTTCTAAGTTAGGAACTCGGATTCCGTCGTGAACTAGTTGCAGATCTCTCGAGTATTTTACTGAATCCGAGGCTTGCCGTTCCTTTGCAGCCCAGCCTTCCATTCTCAAGTCATCAGTGATCTGTAGGACTGCAGTTGGGGACATGATCCAACGTCCCACCCTCGATCTGTCCGGGTTATCCAGCAGGAACTTCCACGATGGCAGAATAGCTTGCACCACTGTGTCGAGTCTGTTCTTTACCTGTCTAAGCCTGAATAGCTTCTGTCGCATTTCGTCCTCGGTTTTCCAGTCTCTCCTCTCCTCTCCTCATTCCATAAATCTTTGATCCTAGTCACCTGAGCCGAAATCAAAA